TTTCCTTCAGAATAGTTGAATCGATACTCTGTCTAGCCAATCTCTGTGGATATGACACTGCTTACCACTACTGCAGTATTTTAGAAGTAGAAATCTATTATTGTTGGATTCGATCCCATCATGCAATATTAAAAGTCTTGTGTTCTCCATCGTCTAGGGTGCATGGTAATCTAGTTGTACCCTGAGTAGGGATCCATAAAACTCATAAGTTCGTGGTCGGACGTGGCATCGACCATGTAGTCAATATGAAGAAGGGGGTAGAAATCTTTCGGACACGCACGATTAATATTAGTGAAGTTAATACCTGCCATTGCCCATTTTCTTTTTCTTCACATTCACAAGTACTAGGGTGGAGACCCATTCGGGATAGCAGGCTTCGTGGATGAACTTTTTGTTGATCAATCTAAATACTTCTTGTTCCAGCGCTTGTTGCCAATTGGGCCCCATTTGTCTTCTCTTCTGTATGAACGACTTCTTGGTTTTATCAATATTCAGTCGGTGGCATGCTACGTCCAGATCGATGGGACTATGCAAAGACATCAAGATTGTTCCTCAAAAAGTCAATTAAATGAGATAGATAAGGCTCCACCAAATTTTTTTGTTTTGTTTTTAATCTTTAGATACTTGGTTAAGAGGAGTTCGTCCATGAAAACAGGTTCATCCTCCTTGACTGTATAAGCTCTTTCTTTGGGCGACAGCCCCGATTGCAAGTTAGGTCTAACTCATCATCCATATGGTCCAGGGTAGGTCGGTAGGTGGTGAGGAGAAACCTTTGTAAACCCCATCTTCTATTTCTAGATTAATAAAAATCTGAGCAAATTTTTCATGTTTTAATTCTGAAAAACACTTATTTAATTTTCAAAAACTCTAACTTTATTTTTGAAAATGCTTTATCTGTCTTGCGGGATACTACTCACTATTTTACTAGCTTTACCTCAAGTTAGACAAAGAATACATGGAACCGAATCAAATCCATTTGACTAAGATACCATGGAGATAAGGGAATTACACATGCATAGTCTGCTATCTCATAGTCACATAATAAGTATGATACTGTGAAAGCTAAAATAAAAACACACGTGGTTCAAATGACATGTTTACATAATTCTCATAACATAATAGGTGTGTTTCCAAAAGTAACATTAAGCTTGTGACCACCACCGACTGCTCACGCACCACGCTGGACTCCGTCACCTGAAAAATATGGGTAGTGGGGGCGTGAGCATAAAGTCCACGTGCTCTGCAGAAACCGACACATAATATACAACAAATATAATAACATTATCATGAAATAAGCATATAAAGAACTGAAATTGTATTGTACTAGTGGACAGCTTGATAACTCCCACCAAACTGGATCGATAAATCATGTGCAAACTCTGGGGGAACATTAAGGAACGTTCGCCTCCCTCAGAATATAAGACGGTAATTAAGGTACGCTCACCT